GACAGCATTGGCTGAACGCTTTGCGCAGGAAGAACTGCGGCACGCTGCTCAGGGTGGCTGGCATCCGCCTGTCGATCGATGGCAAACCACGTCGTTTCAGCGAGGTTTCAGGAATCGCATGCCTAGGGCCGGAGCCGCTGAATGTTTTTCTTAGTGCGTGCTTATTCCGTGAGATGACGTCGACTGCAAGCAGTGAGAACGGTGATTGCCCTTTTCCAAGCACGGGTGCCACGTGAGGCATCACAGAATCACAGAATGGTCGGGGCTGGAAGGGACCTCTGGGGGTCACCCAGCCCGACCCCCTGCCCAAGCAGGGTCACCCAGAGCAGGCTGCACAGCACCGCGGCCAGGCCGGGCTTTGAACTCTTCCGATGGGCAGCCTGTTCCAGTGCTCTGTCACCCTCAGAGGGAAGAAGTTCCTCCTCATGTTCAGACGGAACTTCCTGTGCTTCAGTTTGTGCCCATTGCCCCTTGTCCTGTTGCTGGGCACCACTGAAAAGAGCTTGGCCTCATCCTCCTGACACCCACCCTTCAGATATTTGTAGGCATTTATAAGGTCCCCTCGCAGCCTTCTCTTCTTCAGGCTGAACAAGCCCAGTTCCCTCAACCTCTCCTCGTAGTGGAGATGTTCCAGTCCCCTCACCATCCTTGTAGCCCTCCGCTGGACTCTCTCCAGTAGCTCTTCATCTTTCTTGAACTGGGGAGCCCAGAACTGGACACAGTACTCCAGATGAGGCCTCACCAGGGCAGTGTAGAGGGGAAGGAGAACCTCCCTCGTCCTGCTGTCCACACTCTTCTTGATGCACCCCAGGATCCCATTGGCTTTCTTGGCAGCCAGGGCACACTGCTGGCTCATGGTCAACCTGTCGTCCACCAGGACACCCAGGTCCCTCTCCACAGAGCTGCTCTCCAGCAGGTCAGCTGTTCAGAAAATGTTGGTCTCCGGCATTCAGCAGTTTTCACCCTGATGGATTTGCTGCTCTGGCTGCACAGAGCTTTGCGTTCATGAGAATAACACAGTCTATTTTCCTCTGTCCTTCCAAAATGTATTAATGTGCTTAGTCTCCAGGAAAACGAGTGCCCCCTCACCTTTTGAATCTACACACCACTCCTGTACAGGTTAAGAAAAATTTTTACACACAAACATATTTGGGTGGTTAGGAAGCTTGAGCCACATCTATGGAAGACTCAAACATAAGCCAGAAAGTAAATACCCAGCGGTGAAGAGCTGGTGTAAGGAGCAGCCGACCGTGATCCGTGCCCACCACGAGGCCCGAGCCCGGACGGATGCGCAGCCGGGAGCCTCTGGTCCCTCTCCCCGTGCCGCGCTGTCGCTGTGGGACCGGCGCCCGGCGCTGCTCCCCGGAACACGCCAGCTGCACGGCAGCACTGGGCTCGGAGTTGGCAACTTCAAAACACCGACTGACATACTGACTTTGCTGTATGCTCAGCTGTAAGGGAGTTGGCTGAATGAAGACATCGTCCCTAAAATGACACCAAGGCCTTTCTGTGGGGTAAGCGAACGGACCCCGTTCTAGCCTGTGACAAGGCCCGCGCCGCAGGCATGCTGTCTCGCAGATGGATTGTTATGGCTCATTGCTGTCTTCGTTCAATTAGTAGGGTTACAACTAATATTATTAGAAGGAATGACTTTAATGACAAATCGTCCATGATAGCTTTTGATCCGCAAAGGTTCATAATGCAGATCGTTACGGAGACAATGCCCGTTATCGCTGATGTGAGTAACTGAAGGAAAACGAGTTCTACTGCCCCTTGAGTTTACATAATGGAGTAAACTGCAAAATCCTGTAATGCTCACATTGATTTTATCTAAAATAACATATTGCTTACACTTGAGGAAGGGCATCGCCGAATTAACACGCCGTTTCGGCTGTTGGGTTTCCCTGGCTCTACGGAGAGACGCCGATTGCATTCGGGTACGAACTTTGAGGACAGTGACGCTGACACCACGAAGGCAATTTGCATACGGCCGCCAGCCGCGGCATCGACCCGGCCGA